TTGTGGCTAATAGTACTGTTCAGATATTTAAAATTAATTTTTTTAAGGTGTATTCAATATCCCATGGACATCCAAAGTCTAGGCGCGAACGCAAACCATCGTGGATATCCACTAGATGTAATTTTTAATTTAGCTTACTAAGTATAGATGGCGATACCACTTTCGCATCTACTCATGCTCAACCCGCCGTAATTGAGATCGATCGAAATTTGTATATCAATCAGACTTCATTAGAGACTGGAGTCGAGAATTTCAATTTATTCCTGGAGTCCTAATAAGGATGACTTTCTCCTTAGTGGGCAAAATCAAAGGCAGAGTGTTGAAAATATTTTTTATCTCTGCTATTTTCTTTCGACGTTATTCAATAATCATTGGTTACTTATGAACCTCTACTAAAGATACCCATAAAATGTTTTGCTGAATATCCGAATATCTTCTATATCCTGGGATATAGACGGACATTTGGTTGGATATCCATATTGGATATCCACAAAATATATTCTGTGGATATCTCTGGGATTTCTTGTATTGTCTGGAAGATACCTATTAGATATTTTGCTGGATAATCCATAGGATATCTTCTATATTCTGGATATAGACGGACATTTGGATATCCATATTAGATCCACGGGATATATCTGATATCCTGTGGATATATTGGATATCCACAAAAGATATTCTGTGGATATCTCTGGGATTTGGTGTGTTGTCTGGGAAGTGGGTCACTCAAAACAGTTGCATCATGTTTTTCGGCATTAATCATTGGATTTTTAGAAAATGCTAAAATAGGTCGATTTTTATTCCAAATTAAACACATTTTTACAATACAGATATCTGTCATGTGTCAACCCCCTCCCTTCCACTTCTCCAACCCTTTAATTTTAAATAAGGAATGTACCATGTACGGTACACCGTTAAAAAGGTAATTTTATGGGGAAGTCAGAAATATAACAGTTTATTGCGATACTTTTAATTTTAGCGCCCTCTATCGGGATAAAAAAATATGTAATGTATTATAAAGTGTGATACTTCATTTGAAAGCTAATTTAATAACTGATTCAATGCACCACATAGCAATAATATAAATATTTTCATATTGCACTTGCAACAAAATATAGTTAGCAATAATGTATAAAATAATGCATGACTAATTTTCAAACTATTGCAAGTGCAATATGGATGATATTTATAATAATGTTATGTGGTACATTGAATTAGTAATTAAATTTGCTTTCAAATAAGGTGTCATACTTTAAAATACATATTTTTTTTATCCCGATGGAGGGCGGTACAATTAAAAACATCACAATAAACACTCATATTTCTAAATTCCCCATAAAATTACCTTTTTAATGATGTATTATACATTGTAGTATCACACTCTATAATGCGTAGTAGTTTTTTATCCCGCTAGAGGGCAATAAAATTTAAGTGCATACGGTTTAAGTGCATAGGTAATGTACCATACATGGTACATTACCTATTTAAAATTAAGGTGTGGAGAAGTGCAAGGGAGGGGGTTGACACATGACAGATGTCTGTATTGTAAAAATGTTTTTAATTTTGAATAAAAATCGGCCTGTTCTAGCAATTTCTTAAAATCCAATGATTAATGCTGAAAAACAGGATGAAACTATTTTAAGTGACCCACTCTGTATATCAAAAATGGCTAGGTATATCGAATTAGTTCATAGAACAAAATCTGGTTAAAAATGCATATTTTACAAGATGCGCTACACAACAAAGATCTTCCCATCGAAAAAAAATTATTGAGTGCAGCGCCATCTACATATTGACCTACTTAAAATCAATTAATATCTAAAACTGAAGCTTTCTTAGTGCTTTGTGAACTGGTTTTTACAGAATTAAAATATCTCTATTACTTACCTAAATATCCGGCCTGTGAGTTTTTATTGGTACACCCTGTATACCACCAATATTTTATAAAATTTAATGTTTGATTATGGATTCCCAAGTGACGCAAAACATTTAATCAAGAATAATTGTTAATTTTTTAAACAAAAAACTATTTCCCATGTAAATAACTTTTTTTGGGACACACCGTTTAATAGATTGCTACGTGCTCGAAGAGCACGTCGTTAAAAACAATATCTGAATACACTTTGTTGCTAACGACGTGCTCTTCGAGCACGTCGCAATTCATTTTAAAGTAGGTATGTAAAAGAATTTTATTCTTTTTTTTTATTTTCCCTGTATACCACCTATATTTTATATTTAATGTTAGATTATGGATTTTTTTTAAGTGATACAGTAAATTTATCTAGAATAAATTTTTTGTGAAATGTAAGAAAGTTTGTATACAACATTTTGGCATACCCTATAGATTATTATTTTAACTTATCAAAAAAAATATTTAAGGACTATTTTTTTTTAATCCTGTTTCGACTATACAACAATTTATTTTATTTTACTTTTCATTATAAATCATTATTTTTATTTATTTTTTCAAAATTTTCTGCTTTATTATAGACTTGGAAATAACACAGTACTTTTTATCAAGAATAATATTTTTGTGAAACATATAAAATAGTTTTCATTTGTATACAACTTCTCAAGATTATGTTATTATCAATAATCAAAATAAAAAAATATATATCAAAAAAAGTTATAATATTTAAATAAATCTATAGTAATTTAATATGAATTTAAAAATTTGATATATATCTTCTAACATATTAAAACGCTTGGCAAACATGTAGAGATACGTCAAAATATTTGCATAAAATTGTGCAATTTTTGCGATTTTATCATTAAATTTTCCGCACCTTTCTTTTTGTGAAAAAGATAAAATAGTTTCCATTTGTATACAACTTTTCAAGATACCCTGTAGATTATGTTATTATAAATAACCAAAATAAAAAAATATATATCCAAAAAAGTTATAATGATGTCATTTAAATAAATGTATAATAATTTAATATGAATATAAAAATTTGATATAGGTATCTTCTTACATATCAAAACGCTTGGCAACCGTGTAGAGATACGTCAAAATATTTTCATAAAGTGGTGAGAATTTATCATTAAATTTTGCACCTTAACGCGGATAACCCACAGATTTATATTAATTTTTATAATATTTAACTACTATCACCTAATAGTGCAAAAATATTTTGAAATTCGTGCCTGTATCGTCAAACGTATTTACCTTCTCGAACGAAAACAAGGCAGCGTTGGTATATTTTAAGAGATTATCATATTTTAAGTAACAAAAACTTACCAGATATATAAAATTTTTCATTTTTCCAACACAAAAGGATAATAATCCAGGATAATTATTAAAAATGTTCTCAATTACCATGTCACCTGTCACTGCAAAATTCACAACTAAAATAATAAATCTTTTCAAAGGCAACTTGATAAAAAACCTGATAAACAACTCAACACTTTTCTCTTTGTTTTGGGAATGGGAATTGTTTACGCATGTACACAAATGTGACGTATAATAAAATATAATTGTGGGGTGGGTAAGGTACACTATCGTCCTAAAAACAGATGTATCTACAAAAAAACTAGATGTAAAAATAGGTTCGTGGTAAGCTAAATACGTTTTTTATCAAGCAGAAATGCCGTATTACACGAGGCAATGAAGCAGTAAAAGCAGTAAAAGTAAAAGCCAAAAGTTCGGAATTTTTTAGACTAAGACGGATCGGAATGCGGTTTTTTGCATTCGCTTCCAAAAATATTTTGGAAAAAATGCCCCTACTTTTTATCTTATACAAACCGGAAATTGCATTGCTGCAGCCAAAAATGAATTCAAAAAATGCATTTTTTGAGACGGCTTTTGGAAGATTAAAGAACTTTGTAAATAAGAGTCAGAACTGGCTCAAATCGGGTTGCCGGGGGTCTTCGAGGTCGCTGATCACAATTATGATGTTCAAATTGACCCACAGCCGACCTGGAGCTCAGGAAAGCCGATGAGCGTCATCTCCGTGGGAGAGAAACTCAGCGCCCGGAGGTTTTTTGGGTCGCTGAATTCAAATATGGCATCGGCGAACACCCCCCGGATACCTGGTATGCCGGAACCAGGACGTGGACGTCATCTCCGAGAATTTTCCTGACAAAATCGTCAAAAACAACCTGAAAATCATTGTGGGGGCGTTTTCTGGGGCGCTAAATCCAAATTTCATGTCGAAAATGACCCCCTGAACACCTGGTGTACTGGAACCTGGACGCGGACCTCATCTCCGTGAGTTTTCCTTACACAATCGAAAAAGACGAACCGAAAATCGTTATGGGGGTTTTTGGGGCGCTGAATTTAAATGTGGCATTAGCGAACACCTCCCGGACACCTGGTGCGCCCAAACCTGGTTGTGGACGTCATCCCCAAGAATATTCCTGACAAGATCGCCAAAAGCAACCCGAAAATCATTATAGGGTCGTTTTTTGGAAGCTTAATCCAAATTTCACGTCGAAAACGACCCCCCGAACACCTAGTGCACCAGAATCTGGTCCTTAACGTCGCCTTCGAGGGTTTTCCTCACACAATTGAAGGTTGTCTCATATGCCACTAGTTGCGGATAATGTTTTGTTGTTCCATGCAATAACGGGGTACGATACCGTTTCAGCAACATACTACCAAGGAAAAACTAAATTTTTCAAGAACTTCCATAAATTCCCAGACCTTTAAACTCATGGTCTGAAGCTCAAAGAAGCTGGTTTGTCAAGCGAAAACATTTTTAAAAAGGGAGCGCAGCTAATCCTGGCAATGTACAGTGCTCCACTGTCATTCAGGAAGCCGAATGTTCCTGACTAGTACAAGCCAAAATGGGACCAGTTACTACATATCGATACCTTTTAGCCAGACTATTGTAAGTGCCATTTGAACAAATGTCACTTACGTTAGTCTGAAAAAAGTTATCGATATGTACAGGTACAGAATGTACATAAATACCGCTCTGAAGGGCAGAGTAAATTTGGGAAAAATTCTCCCCACACTAGACGCCATTCAACAACATCTAAAGAGGGTCTATTTTCAAATGCAAGATTGGCTGCACGGAGACCAGCTAACCATGGACCCAACAGAATGGGGATGGAGAAAGGAAGGCGACATACTGGTCCCTGTAGAAATGACACAAAAACCTGCGCCCAAGAATAATATGGAACTAATATTCTGTGGATGCGCAGAGGATTGTAAGCTGTTGTCCTCTAGTTGCAGGAAGCATGGCCTCCCTTGCAGTCTTGCCTGTAAAATTTGTGTAGGCTCAACTTGCAACAACACTGAAAGATATTCAGTTGCAAACGTTATTGCGGCAGAGAGAGAGGCCTTAGATGAGGAAGATGTTTTACTTATGAATACGTCAGTCAATGACGAAGAAAATGAACAGACTAGCGATGTGTTACTTGATGAAGAATTTAATATTTAGTTATGTATCTAAAAATTAAAGTTATTAATTAATGAGGTAAGGTAAAGTTAAAGTTAGATTGTATTTGATTTGAGTTCAATATAAATTTTTTAAACGCCAATTACATAAATATTGACTTTTTATTCATTCGATTTATTTTCTCCTCACATAATTTAACTAGAATCAACAAATCCACAAAGCCATTGCAGTATTGACGTCCGTCTCTAAAATATCAGGTTTGGTTGACATTCATGGGAAAGACATCGATGTCAAGATAAAGATTCTGATGCACTAGGTGTCGTTTTCGAGAGGAAATTCGGATTCAGCGCCCCAAAAAAACCCATTACGATTTTGGGTTCGTCTTCTTTCATTGTGTGAGAAAAACCCTTGGAGATGAGGTCCGCGTCCAGGTTCCGGTGCACCAGGTGTTCAGGGGATCATTTTCGACGTGAAATTTGGATTGAGCTCCTAATAAAAACGCCTCTACAATGATTTTCGGTTTGTTTTTAGCGATCTTGTCAGGAAAATTCTCGAGGATGACACCCACATCCAGATTTTGGCGCACCAGGTGTCAGGGGGGTGTTCGCCGATGCCACATTTAGCACCCCAAAAAACCCCCATAACGATTTTCAGTTCGTCTGTTTCGATTGTGTAAGGAAAACTCACGGAGATGAGGTCCGCGTCCAGGTTCCGGTGCACCAGGTGTTCAGGGGGTCATTTTTGACGAAAAATTTTTAATTGGAAGTAATAAAAATACTTAAATTATTCGATCATGTATTTGTAGAGGTAGTGAGTTTAACGATTATTAGGACGGAGAGTGGAAAGATACAACAAACGGTACAAATGACAGTGTGGAACCGTAGAGAAGGGGTAATATATTGTTAATTATACCCAATCAAATTTAACTTCAAGAAAAAAAAAATGTGAACCGGATTTTGATAAATGTAAATAGTAGAGGGGCTTACAAATATAATAAACAAAAAATTAGTCTGGATGGGCTTAAAGAAAAGTTTTAGAGGGTTGAAAAGAGGTAAAAAATGGTATTATCGCGATTACGGGCCAAAGATGACGTCGAAAACAAAAATTTATAATGCAAAAGTAGTACATCAACAAAAATCTACAGCTTTTGTAGAAGTCACTTTTTAACATAACCTCATAATTTTTGATAAAAATGCAAAGGTTAGTTTGAATTTTTTTTCCTTATTTATTTTTCATTTCTCCAAAAATAATTTAATTTTGATGAAATTTGGTGAAATTATACCTTCATATGTCTTAAATAAGCACCGAAACATAAAATGAATAGTTAAGAATGCACATACTTTTGACAATTTGTCTGCGACCTCTTCATCCTCTTAAATGTTTATATCATTATTATATACATAAATACAGGTTCTGGTCAAACAATAAAAACCATTTCTTTTATAGTTTTTTCCATACAATTGAACGGTGCAATCAGCTTTTTAATTTTTTTAAATGGAAACAAATTATATCAATAATTAAGCAAAAATTCATTGTTGCTATTGTCATTTAATGTCATTTCATTATTTTACAATTATTTATACTAATTTATATCACATTTACTTTATCGATGTTCTCACAGCTATGACTCGACTTCAACTGATTGACTTCCTGGCCAACACAGCCCATTTATACAGGGTCCCTATCGTACTATTTCATAGGGACAGTATTGCTATTTCTTAAATGGTAACAGATAAAACGTTGGTAAAATTTAACAATAGTTATGCAGTTTTGTGTCCATTAAAACAGTGCTAAGGAACCTTCGATATCTACAGGTAGATTCAAAATATCAAACAAAAAATAAAAATTATCATTTCTTTAAATTCATTCATTTTTTGTCCGATATTTTTAATCTACCTGTAGATATCAAAGGTTTTTAGGCACCATATTAATGAGCACAAAACTGCGCAACTTTGAGAAATAGCAATACTGTTCCTATGAAATGGTAGGAGCCCCGTATATAAATTGGTGTATTATTCTCCTTCTCACCATTTATTGTAAGGGCGTCTCCGACAATTTTTCGAATTTACTTCTATAAAGGCTGGGTTCTAGTACATTCCCGAATTAATTATTCATACCGACAATCTGTGAGCATAGGCGTTCCTATAGTTGAGTAAAGGGGTTTTATCCCCTTAATCGAATATTCCTGGTTTTAATGATAATTGAGGTCGTAAAAAGGCCCAAACAAGGCAGAGTGACCCAAAGGACCAGAGCATGGCCATATTGGTTGGAAATGGCTCACCTTACATTTCATAAGGTGTTGTGGTGTCTAACTTCTGAGCTAATTTTATTCCAATTTTAGAGCACACGGTGATTTATTCATCTGCAGTTTTATTTTACATGACTATTTGCAATAGGTTCACATCATCTTTGTTCAGATGCTGCTATCCAAAGGTTTTTAAACATGAAAATAGCATCAATAGGCTTCTAATAATCCTTGAGTCCTTTGGAAGGACATGGGACAACTGTGTTCCAGTAGTGTTTTTTTTTTGTGGGAACAATGTATCCCATTAGTATAGTGAATCAAGTCTAAAATATGGTTTATTGGGACAGTTACAGAGAAAATAAAGAATGATATGGTAGAAAACACGTCTTACACAAAGCATAGTTGCATGCAATACAAATGGTCTTGGTTCCGGTTTCCTTCTTGAAGAGAGAGCACCGGTAACATCGCCTCCTACTTGCACCTTGCTTTGGCAAATGGTCCCCGACATTTACTATTACTTTCTGACGTTTAGAAGATCTTTCAAAGCGACCACTCAAGCGTCTCTTTACTTTCGATCTTGATCTTCCTTGTTCGAGTAGTTGTTCAGCCAATGAAACCAAAAAAACCCAATAAACTGATTTTCCTATTTATATCGTTGTGTATTATCCATGAATTCACAACAACAGACATCACCAATTTATAAAAAAAACTTTTCGCCACCATTTGGTGGATTTGCGATCATGTCATAGGTAAATACTTTTTGATCCGACAGATCCATTCGCCCCTGAATTTGTTGTAGAAGATAATAGCTTCGGGACATTTAATCTCAGCATGTTCACCGGTTCGGAGTTTTCTTCCGGTAAGTTCAGTAGATGTACCATGACAGTTTGACATTAGCAGCACATTTTTAGTATCTTGCCATTTAGTGCTTACAATACCTTCATCCAAAACTTGGAAATCTGTCTCTCTTTTTGACATTTTTTTCAATTCAAAGTTTGGTGTATTTTTGCGATTGCTCATATATTTGCCAACACACGGATAATTCAGTCCACTCAGCAACTTGACAGACGTAAAAAACCTATCAAAGAAGAGGCATACATCAGGAGAACGTATTGTACTAGCTAGTTTTGTCACCACACGTTCCCCTAGACTACCATCTACAGCTTCAGTTTATTTGCCAGAATAGATATTGAAGTCATAAATTTACCCCGTAAAAGAGTCAGATCTCTGCCAAGTTTTTATTCCCCGTTTTATGGGTTTGAGTGGAATATACTGTTTTAGGGAAGATCTCCCTTTGAATTTGATCATGGTTTCATCAATAGACTGATGAGAACTTTCAGTTCTAGCTTTTTGAAACGTATATTTCAAACATAAAACTACTTCATCTAAGTAGTGGATCTTAGATGCATTATTGGGCTCCTGAGGATCATTGTAATACATTTTTGATAGTAAATAGCAACATCGGTTGCGTGATATAGCCCTTTTTATGACACCTTTGCCAAGAGAGTCGTTGCTTGACCAATAATATTTTATACTGGGTGGTTTAATATAGTACATAATCATAGTGCAACCGAGCACGATCATTATTTCATAATGATCAGTTTCTTTTGAGTTTAGTTTTTTATTTTTACTATTTTGGGGTAAAGCAAGCCTTAGATTTGTACAATGAGCGATGTGCATGAATAAAGAACGCGGAAATAACATTAGGAATACATCTAACTCACTGGAACCTCGTCCAACATCCAAAGTGATTACTCCTTGCCTTTAATCTAGAATTATTGTATGCTTTGGTTTGAAGCTGGCATAAGGCTGCTTCCATAGTACAGGGCGAGGCTGGTCGTCATCTGCGTCTGATTCTTCCTCACTTTCTTTAGAACTCTCTTGTTCATCCGAACTTTCATCGCCATTTAAATATTTTTGCTTTTCTTTATCTTCGTTGCTAGGCAGATACTCCTCATCAGAATCTGAACCAGAAAAGGGCTCTTCTGGTTCGGACAAATCACTGAGGTCTTCAGCGACTTTTTGTAATTCATTTTCAGTTAGAAAACTCCGGCCATAATTGGGGACCTGCAATCAATAGAAGTATTGTTACCATTTAAAGTCGATATAAATGACTCTTGGGACACCGGTGGTCCGAGCAGAAAGACTGCTGGGACCGGCGGCGTCCCGTCAGAAAAATTGGACAATAGTAATTACCGGAAATGATTTTGCCTGTGTAATAATAATAATAATAAATAATAAAATAGTTTATTTGTCAACAAGTAATACATTAATACATATTTTAAGTTGAAATAAATACATATGTTGAACAATTAAACACAAAACCCACTGAGACAACTTCAAATTGTCTGTATGTGGTATAAAGAAATATAAATGTATAAATAGGGTACAATAACAGTAAAATAATTTTAAAATATTGGTTTTGTTAAAACTCAAAAACTTAAAACTAAATTTAAAGACTTAATAATTACATTTTAATACACAGGTAAGTATTTTTTTTTTTATTTATTTCGTTATGCTTACTTATCATTAATATTTTTTTTATATTAATTTGATATTTTATATACTGATGTATTTTATTTAATTCTCAAATATAGAGTGTATTTCCTTTATGTTTGCATTATTCATAAAAATTTTCAGTTTTCTTTTATATAAAATTAATGTGTCAGACTGTTTAAAGTCTGGTAGGGAATTAAAAAATTTTGGTCCAAGGTAGTCATAGCTTCTTTGACCAACAGTTTTATTTTTATAAGGTGTAACAAATTGGTTTCTATTTCTCGTGTTATATGTGTGTGTT